TTGGGAGAATAAAAGCAGTCCTTAAATTAACATTAACGACATATGAACCGATACATGTGTATTTGATTTACTAATCTTCAAGCTCATTTTTTGAGCCATAATATCCGTATTTTTTTGTTTCCATAGCTGCAAACTTTTTTTGAAGTGAAAATCTTTGCAAAACAGTTTTTAAAATGAGATTTTTTTTAAAAGACAGTATTTATTTTTGAACTTTCTAGGTGTTCAAAAAACATATACTCTTAAGTTACATAATTTTCTGTCGTATTAAATCGGTAAAAAAAGTGTGATGCAGTGAGTATAATAAACTCAGTTTCTGTACGGCTGCTCTTCGCCATTGTTCAACAGGAAGTTTTTTTGACCGAGAAAATTTGTACTTTCCTATCCCTTATCTACCTCAAATTTCATTATGAATACGTAAGAGGGACAGCCACGAAAAACTGGGGAAAGCCCCAGTTAGATGATTATGAGACTCCTGAAAGGTACGTGAGTAGTGACTATTGCCGTAAATATGCCCTGTGATATTTCCATCCAACTCATTTACAGCGGCATTAAAAGCGACCTTTTTTTCGAAATCCACAACAATTTTTCTGAGAAGTGACCATATAAAAAACCATTCCGAGCAGGCACCTAAATTTCATCAGTAAATGGAGCAGTCAAAATTTTCAAAAAAAAATATGACGAATCGCTACCAAATCCTAAAACTTTCATAATGTTATGCAATGAGTAGCTTGAATTGCCACACATATATCAATCAGTTTAGAAACCTGCACTGCCGCTAGCGCTTCTTAGCGAGCTAGACTCATGATGGCTAAACAGATGAAACAGAGGCCCTAAGGAATCGCGGCTCCAAATTTACCCGTTTGTACGTCCTCTTTCAACATTAGTGCGTGATGCGTGACTGAAAGCCACCTCTTTCTTTTCTTCCAATTTTCTATAGGGAGGACAGCGAAAATAGATCATACACATTCTGTCGGATTTGAAATCATACAGCCTTACTTGAATGCCGTGCAGCAAAGCTCTATAAAGTGCTCCAATAAGAACCTTGATTGATACATTGTCAAGAAACTTCCCAGACTAGATTTTCCACCGATTTTTAGGGAGGAGAACGTCTTTATTTGAAACTTTTGGAATTTCTTTTTTGCCGTTTCACCGGAAATTAAAAATTAAAATCTTTTACAACTTAAGCCCATTCTTGAACCTTTTGTTGTAATATACCCTAAAGCAGAGATAGTCATATAGATTGTGAAAAAAATTTTTGCTGACAGTAAGTGAAGGAACTACATGGTAACCACTTCAGTGACTGGAGGAATTTTCTAGCTTCCATCTCCATACCTCTTCGTTTACGAAAGATTAAAGCTGTAACAGGAGAGAGAAGAACATTGTGTTGAGACCACAAATGTTTATGAAAAAAGTGTTTTCAAATCAAAAGTGTTATTGCGAAGAAGTTCAAACTGTTGCTCGCCAAAATGTCAACCGCAAATTCCAAACTGACTCGCAGTGGTCTTTAAAACCGTATCTTACGAGAAAGTGTCAGAAGCCGTTGACAGCACACGAATAAAAAAAATTACCTGTTTATGTTTAATTCACGAAAACCATTATTTAACAAAGCGCTAAGAGCAATGAAGAACTGGAAGCCCCATATGTCCCTTTCCTCTTTAAAATTGTCCCTATAAAGATGAATTTCGAAAAAATAGTTCCACTTTTTGCAGGTATCATCCTCCCCAGCATCCGAGGACAATTTAACTAAGGAAAGGGACGCACGAGGCTCTCGATTCCTTCAAATTAGGCCACGTGGACGTCAAAGGAGAAAAGTGCATAGCCTCCTTGAACGTAGGGGGAAGGAGAGCAATATTGTAAGGATGCATAAGTTATACTGCTGACGGAGATCCCTTTGATCGGATGGACATCTTGTCTTGAATGACAGTTGCAAACAGCAACGAATTTACGTCTGCATGAGAAAGGTATTCGCATAGGCGAAAAAGAGCTTTCAAATTTTTTCCGGGTTCTGGTCCCATTGCAAGGGCACTACTTCTCAATAGAACTATCGATCTTTTTTTGTTAGAAAATCTAACCTTATGATTACAATCGGCTGTTTTTTCAAGCTTCTAATCATCTACAAAAAATATCTGGTAGTTTTTAGAAGCCGGTATAAAAGACAGCATAACGTTGATATTTTGAATAAACTGACTTTAACTGACTAAAACTGACTCGATGAGGCTAAAAAAAATTCAAATTTCTTTTTACAGTATTTTTGAGATTTTACTTACCTCGCAGATTTCTGGACGAAATCCTAGTTTAATACACACTCCTCTGCAACATTACACAAGCTTCATCATGTAATTTTGAAAAAAAAGCAATTTTTAATCATCCAATGCCAATATGCCTTTTCACTTTCACCTCCATTTTCTTCGTCCTTAATATTTTTATTTTACCCTTCTCTTCCTCCCTAAAAAAGATTTCCAAAACATCATCTTTTTTTGCAGATTGCTTGAAATGAATTTAAAAAAAAAGAAAAAAGGAATCTGACTTTTTTATTCCTGTCTTGCAGTTAATTTCAAATTTGTAGAGGCATAACTCATTTTATGTGTAAATTTTGAATTAGATCCATTATTGAAATGTAATCAGTCTTTTTTTAGGACTCATCGCCTCTACTGCTGAAGAAAGGTCTCTCTTTTCCTTTTTTTTAGGTTTTACTATATTTTGCTTTTGCTATTTTTGCTATATATAGAGCGAGCTAGGTGAAGCAGGTACCCAAAAAGTTAAAAGAGATTACAGTCCAGATGCGAGGTATGCTCAATCAAATTTATTTGTTTCCTAATAACTTGAGCTACTGATACTGCAGTCAGACTGAAGCAGTGAAATCGGCAGGTGTTATTCAAAAGATATTTGGAAGTTGGGAAAGGAGTTGAAAAGATTTGTTTTAAGATGTCTAAAAAATTGCTGGAGAGAAAAAAAAAACACCAAAGAACTTTCACTTCCGCGCAGATAGTTTGAACTAGGAGAACTGCTGAAAAAGTGAAAAGTTATTTCCTCCAATTCTTTTACCATAAATTTTTGAAGACCCAAACTTAGAAGCCTTTGACTACAGTTGCAGAGAACAGAAGAGGTTCACTGTTTCTAGTAAGTTTTAATATACAAGAATGAAATCAACTGTTTTTTTCAGTATTTTTACAGGACTTCAATTTCTGGAAAGCCACAACTAGCTAGACATCATCAACCCAATACCCCTTCCTCAGCCGACGAAATCAGAAGAATGTTCAGAGTAAATAAATCAAGCATAAGAATCTACACTAGAAACTTCATTTTTAAAAAAAATGTCAAAATAGTCTCATCCTCGCACGACTTCAATACAGCCTTAATTCTTCAAGCTGAAAGATTTCAAAAATTTTTTGTTGTCAAAGCAAGGTTAATCACAAAATTGTAGGGTGCAAAAATCAGCAACGGCAAACATATAAACTAGAAAAACGACGTATTGTATAAAAGAAGGGTACAGTAACATCGCAACTAAAAATGAGGCACTGATATTATCAGATGCTCGTATTCTACTGTGCTCTACTTGTATTTACGTCTTCAACAAGCAATAAAGTACAGAAAACAGCAATTCCAATGCTAGACGACGATTTTATGTACTTTGATAAAGCATTTTTAAGAGACCAAAAATTTTTGGCTTATACAACAGAACACTATTCACAAACATTACAAAGGGCACAATATGCACATTCTTCATAGTTGTTTGAACTAATTTTGATAGAAGCCAAAATTGTTAGTTTGAAATTGATCGCTAGTATCTGTTCGAAAAATTACTTTCAAATATAATCATTTTGAAGAGTTGATGAACTACCAGCTCCTCAACTCTCCAAAATGGTTATATTTCCCAGCGGGTTAGTGTCTTCGTAGCAGCTATGAGAATGACCGTCAAGAATAATAAAGAAAAATAGAAGTCCGCATTCTACACTGGAAACTACAATGAGCGGTAAGATTATCAACAAAGTCTTATGCTTATTACAAAAAAGGCTCACTGAAGTTGTTGCTCTGTTACTGTCGATTAAAATATACAAATAAAAAATTGTAAGACTTAAATTATTTATAAATTAAGCTGACCAATGTTTCGTAGCATTTGTCGAATGTGTTTAAACAGCGTTCAGAAGATTCGTAATGAATGGATGCTTAATAAGGCTGCTTCCAAACCTCTTCTAGACGTCATCTAACAGTTTTCAGGTGAATTACATTTTCGACCCTGACACTGAAAAATTCTTCAATTGAATTCTTCAATTAAATATGAATGATTCCTTTCACCCCAACAACTAACAAAATGATAGTTTTCCATACTTTGCCCCCTTTAACATGCAGATTCTATCAGTTCAAGAGGAACAAACATATTTTTGCACTATTTCACATGTAAACACCAAAGACTGTACTCAGCTGAAAAAAAAGACAGTACCATTGGCAGACAAATTTACAGCATAATCGAAGTGCTGAAAAAAAAAAACCTGCTTTTAATTGTTCGTCTATGCAATGGATTTGACGACAGTTGATAGATTTTTTCAAATAATAAACTATTCCAGATAAGTTTATGAATTTTTTGAGACATTGAGGAAAAACTCGCTGTTGAACAGTATCAAAATACATTCGCATGAAGTTTTCAGTCAATTAAAACTAACTATCTCGCATATCCCATACGTTGTTTTCACTGTCAACCAATCCATGTTTTAGATTTTCGGAGCAATCTATATTCCTATGAAGAAATTTGCTGACAGTCAGCTGTTGACACTTAAACTCAAAATAATTAACTGCTTCTGCCAGTCTGCTGCTGATCAACGAAAATTCAACATCATAAAACCAATAAATTGTCTTTTTGTTCGGTTAAAACTTTCATTCATTAATTTCCGATTAAGCAAAACAAACAACTGCAAAAAGTCTTAACACTTCACAACTGTGAAGTCCGTATACCGTCCGCATTTTCACGCTGAAATTCAACTAAAACTTCGTCTGAAATGATAAAAGATTTGCGGTTTTCAATTGATCTGTCAGTCATAACAGTTTTTCTCGATGTTCGCCAACATTTCCAAATAAGACCAGAAAACGGCGGTCAGCGGTTAAGGTGATAATTGGGCCATTCAGTAGCGGCAGTTATCGGCATTTTCATCAATGACGATTTGGCGCCTTCAATTATGTGCTGAAGGCATATTGCCAGGCAGATGACGAGTTTGTAATCAGTTTAAAAGTTTGAATACTGAAACGCAAAAATTCAAAATGATTGTTACCCATAGTGTTGCAGAGTTTCAGACGTTTGCCTGACCAATTAACTCTGCAAGTCATTTCAGTTGTTCATTTTTTGTATTCAGCAATTTTTTTATTTGGGCATTTTTCCGGTTTAATTACTTTTTTCCGTATGTATTTTGAAGCCGTTGCTATTTTTTAAGTTAACGATATTTTTGTTAGGTTAGCTACCGCATGTGAAGGTGATGGCTGCAACAGTTTCATGGAAAGGTCCTTTATCGCAAGTACTTGATGCCCGTAAACTACCCGAATTACGATATTTACCCTTTGTTGGTGAAGCCAACATGAAAACTTTTTATGTGAAAAATATTCCATCGCACTGGGACGAAGTAAGTCTTCACTGAAGTGTTACATTTTAAGCTAATCAATGGGTTTGAAATTTGAAAAAATTTTGTATTAGTTTCGAAAATTTAGTCAACGTTGTAGATTAGGGTTTTTTATCAGACATTTCTGATCTTGTTGAGGTGTTTTCAGTGGGAACTTTTCCGAATATTTCGACAGTTTGGCTTGATCAATAACATTGTTTTACCAGATGTTAAAAGTGCGCATTCAGAAAATGCTTACAGATATGGGTACTGGTTTAATTACTGCCTCTTTTTTTTTTTTTTTCGATGTGTTTTATCGGTTTCGTCATGTTGTTTCAGAAATACCTTTATCTGCGCTGAGCCTAGATTATTTTTCGGATAGGGATTGTGAATTATGCTATTCGTAACTGGTATGTTTTGTAAGTTAAAATGCCGACCTTGAAAAGTTTTACTTCAGTAGCGTACAGAACAGTTTTTGCTTTTCGGTAATTTGACCTTTTGATTTGAGTCGTTCAGAAAAATGTTAAAGCTAATTTAAAAGAAAGAAGTGGAGCTAGAGCATTTCGATATAGGGGGACTATGCTTTATAACATTAGTACTTTTTGCTTTACCACTGTTCGGAAAACATATTTCTTTATCACCGTTCAAGTTTAAAGCCTAATTATTACCAAAATTTACTTCTTTTGCTGCTGTTTTTGTGCAACTCAGTTGTCTGAAACCATGTGTGATTTGTGAGGAAATTTTACTAGCAAATAACATTTGCGCACTGATCATTGTAGCCTTTATTTTGCTGTTTGAATCTTTTATTCATCCTAATGCATTTGAAAGCAAGGTGCTTCTGTTTCACTTTGTTCCTCGTGGTTAGTTGCGCAGCGCAACTAATTTTTTTTACTCTAAACTTTTGAATTATCTATCTTTTGACGGTTTAGTGAGCTTTTAAATTTTTGATATTAATTTTTTCTTTTAATCTTTGAATGCCTTATAGTTTTTACTAAAAAATTGATTTCTAGGTTTGTGATGATGCTTTCGCTTGCTGGTGCTGACAATGTCTTTCAGAAGTTGACTAGTAATGGAAGCTTGTTTGTGGAAGGTTTGAGCACGCCATTACAGGTTGATAACAATTTTTCACCGTATCAAAATCATTGCATTGTTTCAACTTTTAGAAAAAATTTGTCAAATAGTTAGTGTACCGTTTTTTTTTTTTGAAAGTTACATTACTTTCTCCTGGAGAGAATTTCTCGTTCTTATTGTCTCCAATGTTTTTTCTCTTTTTGAAATTGAAAATAATTCGTTTTTTGTTTTATTATTAGTGAAGAGGGCAGCATAAAAAAAATTTCAGGTTCAGCGAACTGGTGTCAAAACTAAATCCTCAGCTCCTTTCCGCGAGCTGCAGACTAATGCTGCGCAGAAACGTAATTTGTCTGACTCGTATGTTTTTTACTTATTTTTTCCTTCTCTGTTTACAAAATAAAGCTTTTTTAGTGCAGGTTAGAATTCACTAATTATTATGGTGTAGACGAATTATTGACAGTATTTTGTTGATGTTTTGACAATAAGTAGGTAAGTTACAGAGTCATCTTTGATATCTTGTTAGGCGGTGACAAAACTGATTTTTTTGCTATTATCATTTTTTTTCCTGCACTAAGACTTAGTTTTCGCATTTCAGTGAATCAGCGCCAGGAGTCTTTCGTTCCAGCTAGGTGATTTTTTTCTAGTTATTTGAGAGTGTTTATTGTATTTCAGAAAAATGGAGTCGGATACCGTAGCCGAAGAGAAGGTTTCTGAGCCTGTTCCGCAGGTGCGAAGACAGTTTTATACGCGAGATGAATTATTGAGAATAAGGCACAGTATGAAGGTATACCATTTTAATTCTTCTCAATTTCAAATTTTTTGAAATATTTTAATTTAGCTGAAACAGACTGAATTCAGGATGTTCCCGTTCCTGATATAGCAGTGAAGAGCATTCTATTATGATTGTTTGCAAATTGCCATCATTCAAGTTGAAGGTGCGATTTTACTTTCATTACAGAAGGTGTAATTTTATTACATCTGCATGCTCGTTTTTGGGAATTTTTTACAGCTGTTCATAGATTTAATTTCACAACCAATTCTTCTTTAGTTTATCCAACTTTATTTTGACTGATTGATCTACTTTTGGTTACTTAATGTCAGTTTAAATTGTACATTTACCTTTCGGTATAATGCTTTTCATCCATTTGTGGGAACGTTGGTCATCATACTTGCTCCATTTTGCCCCGATAGTTTTGTATTTTCTCCTTTATTTATTGATTTTTGATCTCATATTCATTCCCTGTTACTTAGCTTTGAAGCTTTTTGAATAAAAGAACGGTGAGCTAAAATAGCAAGCGAAGTGGTTATTCAGGTTGAAAGGAGAAATTATTGGGAAATTGTAAACAGATGAATTATAAAATTAAAATCAAGTGTGATTAGCGAACTGCCAGATCCCACTTGCTGTATGTGTGGGATTTGTGGAATTAAAGAAGCTAGGAACTTGCAGAATTTGAGACGGTTTTAAGACGAGGATTGTTAATGTCTGTTTGCCTGTATTGAGGGAATATTAATGTACATTCTTTCGTCACGATTACTAGATGAATTCCAGCGTGGTTTTCAAAATGAGAAGCCCGTGTTGCAGTATTAGTGTAAAACTAGTTGGTCGAGGAGCTACTGACTGCAGCTTTCTCACCGCTAATGACGATTCTTTCTTTGCGAGACTGAATCAGTTTGAAGTTGCCCACGGCAGTTTTCTAAATAGTCTTACAGTAATTTTGGGGCATCGTCATTTTGCTCTGTAGTCAAGGTGGAAAAAAAGTTTATGGGAGTTGTGGTGACTGTTTGGAGCCGGTATATTGGTAATATTAGCGGTATTTGCTGAACAGGCAGTGTGGTTTGTGGCAATCAAATATGCCAGATATAGAAAGAGTAAGTTTATCAGTGCGCGAACTCAACATACAACTTGGAACTGAGATTTTATGGGAAGTATCTTCGTTAGTTTTTTAAAAGAGCTTAGTAATGTGCCATAGCCTATGCAGATAACAAAGTCTTTATAAGTGCAGTTTGGCCACCACTGTATCGGCAATGACTAGAACGACGTAGAACTTATAATTAATTTACTTTGACACCTAACTTAAAGAAATGAATTCAAGTGAGCTAGTCTTTAGAGGATTATGTAATAGGTAATTATTCCGCTTCCTGTCGACCAATAGATTTTGCTAGATTGGTTTTTGGGGCAAGAGGCAATGAAGTGTCACTATGCTCAGCCGGTAGTACATCTGATCAGTATGAAAGTAATGCTATGAGACTAGCAGAAATGTCTGCTGTTAAAACTTTGCAGTGAAGCATCCTTGTACTTTTGACGACTAAAGTATATACAGGGGATGTGTTTTTTCTTCAAATGTCTATAAGAACTAGAAGCAATTTATAAACCAAATATAGGTGAACATT